CTCTCTCTCTCTCTCTCTCTCTCTCTCTCTCTCTCTCTCTCTCTCTCTCTCTCTCTCTCTCTCTCTCTGTTGCTCGCTCTCTCCCTCACTTACTTCCTCCTCCCCCCATCCTCTCTCTCTCTCTCTCTCTCTCTCTCTCTCTCTCTCTCTCTCTCTCTCTGATACATGCCCAGTTGGGCAATGTATATGGAGCCTTAGAAGACCAACTGATTGTTATCCGTTACCCATCGGAATTGACTTCGACCGAGAAGAAAATGCTGCCACCGCTTAAACGCGTGTACGAAGGCTAGTAACTCCTTCCGTGCGTCGTCAATCGAGTGTCGGTGGGCACTTTCTTGCTAAAGTATTCGACCGGGTGCCAATCCACGCCATAGTGTTGCTCGAGGACGGCCTCAATGCCATAGCTGGACGGATCAGTAGTACCGCGCGTCGGCAACAACAGGTCGTAGATGCGCAAGACTTCCCCGGATAGCAAAGTGGCTTTGAGGGCCAAAAAGGAAGCCCGCACATAGTCCTCAAAGTCGAACGGCCGATCCTCGCATTGAAGCTTGGTCAAACTGGTCGAGATCTTCGCATAACCTTTAATAAAGGGACGATAGTAGCCGGTAAGACCAAGAAATGAATTGACATGCATGATGTTCCTGGGTTCCGACCACTCTTGGACAGCTCGAATCTTATCCGATAATGGACTGATGCCCTCCGAGGTAACAAAGTGACCCAAGTACTACAATTCTTGTCGTACAAATTCAAGCTTGTCGCGATCGACTTTGTACTTGGCATGACGGAGCGTCTCCAACACGCATCAAAGATGCTCAAGATAGTCCTCCAAGGTCTGGCTATAGACGAGAATGTCGTTCAACTAAACCAGCACAAACCGGTCCAACATCGCATGGAACTCGTTGGTTATCACCGCTTGAAAAGTCGCCAGGGCTTCGTGAGGCCAAAAGGCATAACAAGCCACTCAAAATGCCCGTACCGCGTCTTGAACGGATTTGTAGCGATCTTGCGGTCATATCAAAATCTTATGATAGCCTGAATTCAAGTCCAACTTTGAAAAGTACTTCGCGCCGCCCAACCGCTCAAAAAGATTGTCGATAGAAGGAAGAGGCCCTGCATTCTTGACGTTTGCGTGTTGAGCTTGCCACAAGCGTAGATCCTTGTTTTTCTCCCGTACGAAGAGAACTGGTGCACCATATCGTGAGCTACTACGGCGGATCCAACCCTTCTCCAACTAGTCGTCGAGTTGCACGAGGAGAACCGCGAGCTCTTCCTCGCACATGCAATAGATGCATATCCTGGGCGGCACGGCACCAGCCTCAAAAATGATCTCAATAGGAGATTGGAAGATGTCAGAGAACTCGTCGAGCAACCGCACCATACGGGGGTCCGAAGACAAGTTCGTGGGTGGAGAGTCGGCTACCACGACGGTTCGAAGAAAACATGGGCTGATCTGGTCAGTTCGCTGGTGAGCACAAATGGCCCCAAACAATTTGGCCGTCACAACTTGGCACCGGATCGAAGGGTGCGAAAAAGGAATAGTACACGACACCTCGGCGCCGAAGGCGTCGTGAACGGTAAGTATCCGCCGATGGAAGTTGACCGTGTGATCCACACTTGCAAGCCAAGGCATCCCCAAAATGATGTCGAAGTCCGTGTCCAAGACGTCAAACATCACCAGTTCGCATGAATTAGGTGCGAAATAAACCGGTATGGCCTCGATGTAGCGGTTCAGATGTTGTGTCCGACCATCCGCCAACTTGACCGCCGCAGGGTGTGCCTTCCCTCAAACTTGTGCGCCAAAGCCCACCCTTTGAATAAAGGACTGGCTCATGAAAGTGCGAGTCGCGCCGCTATCCARCAAAGCGCTGCAGGACGCTTGCCCAACTTGGATGCGGACATAAAGGAGCGGTGTGTTGTTGTTGTCGTATCGCTGCGTGCGAAACTCGTGGGCCACCTTGGTAACATAAGCAAGGATATCCCCCACCGCAGCTTCGTCATCTGTCGGCGAAGTTGGTGGTGCATAGAAGGCTAAGTATGTGTGGAGATGAGCACATAGTGCTGCGTATTGCAATCCTGGTAAGCAGCCTGTGGTAGGGAGAGGAAGCCATGCGAAATCTTTAGACGTCAACGGGTCCAAAACCTCTAATATTGAACTCGCGCGCCGAATCCCTTGAAGAACCATGAATTGCAGCCGCTTCTGGACGGAGAAGAAACCGCACACACATGTTGTCCTTGAGCATGAGAACCCAGCGAAGGAACGAGCCAGGAAGCATAGTCCTTGTAACAATAGAAGAATAGGAGGACTTACGACTTCCTCGTTTGCCTCGAAACTAAGGGAGGTTGCTCGTGCAGCAACCGGTTTCGAACGTGTCGAGAGTGTCGTCACATCATTCTTGGTGGTGCTCACTTTCCCGAATGGGACTTCCCCTTGCCCTTTGTGGGACAGCTGCTTGTCTCGACGATATCGCTTTTACACCCCAAACAATATCGTTATTTCGTGCGTATTCAGTACACGCTTTCCGAAGGACCGTAGTGCATCCAAGGTTCTTGAGCGGCTGTGTCGGGACTGGGTTTGAAGAGGTGCTAGTCTTCGTTTTGCCGTGTCCTCGTCCTTTGGAGGGGCGGCCACCATCCTGGGCGGCTGCTAATATGTCTCCCTCGTCAAAGGAAACAGCCTCACTTGAAGGGTCGGTCGTCGTAGTTGTCGTGACCACGGCCACTTTCGACCGATGTTGATCTCTGCCCTGGCCCGCAAAAGACGAATGGCCAAGATTCTTGGCTTCCGTGTTCGTCATAATGATCTGCGCGGCCTTGTCGAAGAGTCCTGCACTTGTGGTGAGGGTCTCCGTGACTTGCGCAAGTGCATTTTGCAATGCCAGACACAACCTCGTAATGGAGTAGTGTTTGATGACGTTGAAGTTCGTTGGCAATTCCGGCGTTGATGCCAAGCGTTGGTACTCGGCTATCCAGTCTCCACTTGGCAAGGTGTTCTGATGGAACTTCTGCAATTTGCCCATTGCTTGAAGTTCGGGCGGCGCCACTTGGAACCGCTTTTGCCAAGTTGCCTTCAGATCAGCCACTTGGAGTCTGTGACCCCGTGTGTGGACAACATATTGTCTAGCCAGGCTTGGCATGCACCCCCTGATCGGGAGCAGAAATAT